GATTAGGGGTAAAATGTGAACCAAGGGAGGCAAAAATTCTGATACTCTTATGTAGCATTTTATAATCTCTTTCAGGCATATCTATGTTTTGATGAGGCAAAAATCTCACCTTATTATATGCTCTACTAGTTTGGAAGTTATGGTTAAAATTTTTATTACTTAGTGATACCAGACCACCTGACCTGCCTCCTGAGAAATCTGTATGCACGTCAAGAAGCAACAGTTAGAAATGGACAAGGAACAACAGATGGTCCAAATCCAGAAAGGAGTATGTCAAGGCTGCCTATTGTCACCCTGCATATTTAACTATATGCAGAATACATCATGGGAAATGCCAGGTTGGATGAGACACAAGCTGGAATCAATATTTCCAGGAGAAACATCAATAACCTCAGATATGCAGATGATACCACTCTTATGGCAGAAAATGAAGAACTAAAGAGCCTCTTGATGAACGTTAAAGAGGAGAATGAAAAAGTTGGCTTAAAACTCAATATTCAGAAAACTAAGATCATGGCATCTGGTCCCACCACTTCATGGCAAATAGATGGGGAAACAATGGAAACAGTGACAGACTTTATTTTGGGGGGCTCCAAAAACACTGTAGATGGTGACTGCAGCCATGAAATTAAAAGACACTTGCTCCTTGGAAGAAAAGCTATGATCAAACTAGATAGCATATTAAAAAGCAGAGACATTACTTTGCCAACAAATGTCCATCTAGTCAAGGCTATGGTTTTTCCTGTAGTCATATAAGAGTTGGACTATAAAGAAAGCCAAGTGCCAAAGAATTGATGCTTCTGAACTGTGGTGTTGGAGAAGACTCTTGAGAGTCCCTTGGACTGCAAGGAGATCCAACCAGTCCATCCTTAAGGAGATCAGGACTGAATATTCATTGAAACGACTGATATTGAAGCTGAAGCTCCAATACTTTGGCCACCTGATGTGAAGAACTGACTCATTTGTAAAGACTCTGATGCTGGGAAAGATTGAAGGCAAGAGGAGAAGGGGACAACAGAGGATGAGATGGTTGGATGGCATCACCAACTTGATGGACATGAGTTTGAGTAAGCTCCGGGCGTTGGTCATGGACAGAGAAGGCTGGCGTGCTGCAGTCCATAGGGTCACAAAGAGTCGGAAACAACTGAGCAACTGAGCTGAACTGAGAAACTATTCTGAAGGTTTACCGTACATAGGTCATATTGTGATCTAGGTTTTATTCCCATCTTCTGGGAAAAATAAAAAGATATGCTATCATTTCATCAAATTTATGTAAAAATATGTATGTCTATTTGATTTATATGCAAAATATGTTTTACATATGTGATATAATTTATGAACAATGTATAAGTTTGGTGTGACTAATATGTAATTAGGTCATAACTAGTTATTATTTCCTTTTAATTCATTAGTCCCACCTCTTCTTTTCCCTTTTCCTCTCGAGTCTAGTGGGTGCTTCATTCTCTGACTCCTGCAGAGTCATTGAACTCTGAGCCACATCTCCTATTTACTTCCACGTGACCAGAAATTGTCTGATAATTTAGCATCCACTCACAAAGGAGAGTCTCCATTATGCTATTGACCTAAAGGGTATTTTTGTTACTTTTATTAATCTTATCATAATTTTTTGCCAGAACTTTATTGCTTCATCATTTCCATTTACTATTATAATTGATCTAGAAGTGTTTGTTTTCGTTGGTTTCTAACACTAGCAACCTGATCCTGTCGAAATTTTGTTGTTCACTTGTTCAGTCATGTATGACTCTTTGCAAACCCCTGGACTGTAGCCTACCAGGCTCCTCTGTCCATGGGACTTCCCAGGATATTGGGAAGAGTACTGGAGTGGCCTGCCATTTCATTCTCTGGGGGATCTTCTCAACCCAGGGATTGAACCCATGTCTTCTGCATTGGTAGGTAGATTCTTTACCATTGAGCCATCAGGGAATCCCTAATCCTGTAGAATTTAATGAAGCAATCTTAAGCAGAAATCAACACTGGACTTAAAAAAATTTTGTGATAACCCTGATTGGGATGGTGCCATTCGTAAACAAGGAGTTAATCATTCACCTAACAAATGCCTATGTATCATCTCTTGTGGGCCAATTTCCTTTCTAAGGATTAGGGAGAATAACAGAAGCTCCAAAAGATGATTAATACTCAATCCCATACTCCAGTGATCCCATAGTCTGCCTGAGGAATAGACACATACGTGTCATTCTGTTGCACCATGATTAATATTATAATAGATGTGCATACTGGTTGTTATTTGTGTGTTTTGATGATGTGAGAATAAGTGATTATATCTAGTTGGGTGGGAGAAAGTTGGAAAAACCTTCACAGTGAATTGAATCTTCAAATTGGGCCTTGAAGAGTTAATAAGATTTAGCCAAGCAAGGAGAAGAATTAAGGATGACTCTGTGGATCACAACAAACTACGGAAAATTCTTAAAGAGATGAGACTCCCAGACTACCTGACCTGCCTCCTGAGAAATCTGTATGCAGGTCAAGAAGCAATAGTTAGAATTGGACATGGAACAACAGACTGGTTCCGAATCTGGAAAGGAGTACAAGGCTGCCTATTGTCACCCTGCTTATTTAACTTATATGCAGAATACATCATGCAAAATGCCAGGCTGGATGAAGAACAAGCTGGAATCAAGATTGCCAGGAGAAATATCAGTAACCTCAGATATGCAGGTGACACTATCTTTATGGCAGAAAGTGAAGAAGAACTAAAGAGCCTCTTAATGAAAATAAAAGAGGAGAGTGGAAAAGTTGTCTCAAAACTCAACATTCAGAAAACTAAGACCATGGCATCTGGTCCCATCACTTCATGGCAAATAGATGAGAAAATAATGGAAACAGTGAGAGACTTTATTTTGGGGGGCTCCAAAATCACTGCAGATGGTGACTGAAGCCATGAAATTAAAAGACGCTTGCTCCTTGGAAGAAAAGCTATGACCAACCTAGACATATTAAGAAGCAGAGACATTACTTTGCCAATGAAAGTCCATCTAGTCAAAGCTATGGTTTTTCCAGTAGTCATTTATGGATATGAGAGTTGGTCTATAAAAAAAGCTGAGCACTGAAGAATTGATGCTTTTGAAGTGTGGTGTTGGAGAAGACTCTTGAGAGTCCCTTGGACTTCAAGGAGATCCAACCAGTCCATCCTAAAGGAGATCAATCCTGGATGTTCATTGGAAGGACTGATGCTGAAGCTGAAACTCCAATACTTTGGCTACCTGATGCGAAGAACTGACTTATCAGAAAAGACCCTGATGCTGGGAAAGATTGAAGGCGGGAGGAGAAGCGGACGACAGAGAAAGAGATGGTTGGATGGCATCACTGACTTGATGGGCATGAGTTTGAGTAAGCTCCTGAAGTTGGTGATGGACAGGGAAGCCTGGTGTGCTACAGTCCATGGGGTCTCAGAGTCAGACACAGCTAAGCAACTGAACTGAACTGAAGACATAAGATTCAGATAAAATGAGGCTATCTTGGCAAATGAATTTCAATAGCAAACTCAATACAGAACTCACAGTCTTAATTCTTCAAATCCTTTTGGACATTGTGGTCCACATTCCATCAAACTTCATGACACTGATCACTTTGGAAAGAACAAAGTTAATTTCAGCATACTGGTTAAGACAAGGGTTGACCCATAAGTGTTTCCATTCTGAGAACTGAAAGAATCTGAGCATGGTGTTTAAATAAGCTTGACTAATAGGGTTGAGTTTTTTCCTCCATTTTTGACACTTAAAATGTCAAAGTTTTAGCTTCATTTTTCTTGTAATAGGAAATGACAACTGGGAGTGTGGATTATGTGCTACTTGATAGGTGTTGAGGGTCAACAATATTTGAAAGTAGTCAACTGTGAGTTACATCTGTAACTAAAAATACTTGCTTTCAGATATACTGATTCTCCTAGTGCTTTTCTTTAAGTATCCCTCTGTGAATAAATTCTGTCATGTATAAATGCTAGGCTCACCTCATGGAAAACATGTCCTTAGAACTAACATCACTTCTTTATCTGAACTCCTCAGTAAACAGTACAATGTCAACCTCCCTTTGGGTTCCTTTCATTCCTGATTCATTATACCTTATCATTATTATGATTATTTTATCCTGTTAGCATCTCCTAGAATTTTCTTCACATGGATTCTGGTTAAGTTAAAGGCAAATTCTGTTTTGATACTATATTAGATGGAACTTGAAGAAAAACTTCTTTACAAAAAAATTTAGTCTCTTCTTGAAGGATTGAGTTATAAAATAGTGAATGCATGCTGATGGACTGTATAAATTCAGTTTAATGAAATTTTATTCTGAATCTAATTACACAGTTCTAAAACTTATGTTGGTGTATACTTAACAATCTTGAATTTTACCTGTGGTATAGAAGGTCAAGTGATAAAAGAGGATGTCAGCAGGCCACGCTTAGACCAGGAATACTGGTAGACTGTCCAGGGCTGTGAGTCACAGCAGTGTGTTCACTGTGAGTTTGCATAGGCACAGGTTAATTTTAAGTATTTGGAAGCAAGCTCAGCCCTTTTAATGCTGTGGACATGATGGAAGAAATCTCTGCACCTGGGTAAGACTAATAGACTCACCCTAAAACTAGAAATATCAATATCCTCAGATATGCAGATGACACCATCTTTATGGCAGAAAGTGAAGAAGAACTAAAGAGCCTCTTGATGAAAGTAAAAGAGGAGAGTGAAAAAGTTAGCTTAAAGTTCAACATTCAGAAAACTAAGATCATGGCATCCAGTCCCATCACTTCATGGGACATAGGTGGGGAAACAATGGAAGCAGTGTCAGACTTTTTTTTTTTGGNTGAGCCTACTTCTTCTGCCTTCGAGTGTGAACTAGATTCAGAGAACCGCTTCTCATGAATAGGATATAGCAGAAGTGACAGTATGTGACAAGGTTGTAAAAGGTACTGCAGCTTCCTGACGCTCTTTCTTGGATCCTTTGCTCTGTGGGAAGCCAGCTGGCATGTCATGAGAACACTCAGGCAGCCCTTGAAGAGGTCTCATGGTGAGGAGCTGAGGCCTCCTGCTCGCAGCCATGTGAGTGAGCATGGAAGCTGATACTCCACATCCAGTCAAGCCTTCAGAAGATGGCAGCCATTTTTACTGCAGTCTCATGGGAGATTCCAAGTCAGGGCTTAGTCACTCCCAAATTCCTGAACTACAAAAACTATGAGATAATAGTTAGTCTTCAATCTGTTAAGATTGAAGATAATCTTTAATACAAGGATAAGTAATTATTACAACAGTGTATCAAGATACAACTTCTATTATAGAACTGAATCCTCCAATAATATCTAGTAATTTTATAAAAATATTTTTCTTCAGGTTTCATCCCATACACAGTGTCCAAAAGCCTTATCTTTGAGATTTGGTCCAGGGGTGAATTCTCAGACCAAGTTAAGATTTTGCGTGAAACTCTGAGACGGAAAGTGTGTCCCATGAAATTGTTTCAACAAGCTGTAAAACTACTTTTTGTTTGTTTGCTTGTTTTTGTAAAACTACTTTTGATTATAAAACTGACTCTGAGAAGCATTGGTGATCCCTGTCCACATGTGACAGTTCACTGCTTAATCACTTCTTTGGGAAGTGATACCCTGTGTTAGTTATCTACGGTTTCTTCCAAAGAGAAATACCAGCAAATACAGTCATCACATCTTTAGCTCCCCACAGAGGTATTCTAAGAATAACCAAGACAACTTTACCAAATAGATTCTTACCCAGATAAATGATTTCAGAAGTGCCCTGAGGTCCATCTCTGAGAGTTTCCCTGGTGGCCCAGACGGTTAAGAATCTGCCTGCAATGTGGGAGACTTGGGTTGGATCCCTGGTTTGGGAAGATCCCCTGGAAAAGGAAATGGCAACCCGCTCCAGTATTCTTGCCTGGAAAAATCCCATGATACAGAGGAATCTGGCAGGCTACAGGCCATGGGGTTGCAAAGAGTCAGACACGACAGAGCAACTAACACTGTCATCCCCAAGAGAGAACAACTGAGGCATGTCACCTCTCCAGATGCTAACTGAAACACACCAGCTTGAGTTATCCTATTACCTCATCTCAAGGAAGCAAGGAAATACCTATTAAGCACCCCAAGGGAGTTAATAAAGATATAAAGGTCTTTTATTCTCTAAATCATTTGTGAATTAATCAGTAATCCATGGTAGATGCAGTAGTGTATTTCTTGCCCTCTGAGGACCTAAATATAGTGAAATAATGTGAACAGCATAAAATCCTGAACTGAGAAACAAGACTCTTGTTCTAATACTGGTTAATTGTAATACTTCAGATAAATAGATTCTGACCTAACTTATCAAAGCTTTCTCTGCATCAGTATTACCTACTAATCTTAAGAGGATGTGACACGCCAAATCAAATACTGTTCTTGCAACCTTATCAATTAGAAATCAATTCTGGGCAACCTCACCAGCAGTCCAGTGTTAGGACTCCATGCTTTCACTGCAGGGAACACAGGTTCAATTTCTGGTTGGGAAACTCATGTCCTGTAAGTCACATGGCATGACCAAAAAAATGACATCCATTCTGAGGTTGTCCTCTCCAGTGAGATGGTAATAATGCCTCTTTCCCTTAGGTGAAAGTGTGGAAGAAAATGCTAGTGTCGTGGTCAAGCTGCTCATCAGACGCCCCGAGTGCTTCGGCCCCGCCCTGCGGGGTGAAGGAGGAAATGGTCTGTTGGCGGCCATGCAAGGCGCCATTAAGATCTCTGAGAACCCAGCCCTCGACCTCCCCTCACAGGGCTACAAGAGGGAAGTGTAAGTGAATAGAATTGCCTTCTGACCTCCGTATGGTTGGTGAGCTCCCCAATATTCTCAGTACATGAATGATAAAGCAAGTGTCAATAACCTCTCCCCGGTAGAAGCAGCACCGGCTCGTTAACAGCTGTTGCTCAAACAGCTTAGATCACTTGGTGAGCTTGTTATCTTGACTCTCCCAGTAAGCCTCGTAGTCAGTCTTATCCTCCCTGCCTTCCGTTTCCCCTGCTCCAGTCAGGTCAGTTGGCAAATCGAGAAGTCACAAGCTCAGGCCCCACCACACCCCACCCCCATCCCCACCAGAGGAAACTGTATCTAGGCTAACAGGTCTGGACCAACAGGGTTCCAGTCACTGTCTAACTCCAGCCCGTCCCCTTCAGTATTTTGAACCCCAGTGTTTCACCTCATATCTCTCATACTTTTAAAAAGAAGGAGCAACCTCCACCTCCTCTTCTGAAAATGTCTGATTTGATTCTTGAGGTAAAAAGAAAGTTGCATAATGTGAAAAATCACAGCTCTACTAATCTTGGAATTTAACAGTTAAAGATGTAGTTAGTACATTATTGGCCTTGTGACCTTCCTTTCACTATGTCTTGTGACCATTTCCCTCTTATCACAGCCTCTAGATTAGACCCCAGAATCTAGAGAAGGGATATAACTCAGCAAAGCTTGGGATTTAACTCCAGGGGCTTTATTATTTATTTATTTGTTTTTTGGTCATCATTTCTGGTAGGTGAGCTGGTCGAGTTAGAACCAAAACCATAAGCTGTCCCAACTTCCTCATGTAATGTGAGAAAAACTGAGGCCCAGAGTCATACAGCTTCTTAGCATCACAGCCAGGGCCTGAACTTGGCCTTCCTGGCTCCTGTCCAATGTGCTTTCCATGTCTACCTAGCAGGAAAATGATGGAATGGTTGGTAGACATTTTGGGGGTCACAGTGCTGCTCCATGAGTGTGTGTAGTCTGCACGATCCACTCGTGTCAGTTAAGTTCATGGGAATATATTTGGGTCATTTGAGCTTGCTGAGTTAAACCATCTCATTGGCCTCTGGGGGGAGAGAAAGAGTCCAGTGGAAAGGATGCGTGATGCCCAGGGTGAGCAGAGAAAGTATTTCCAAATCGTGTCTCGAACATGGTGCCACCTGCATGACTTCCTTACAGCTCCTTGTGTTGCTTCTGTCTCAGCAGCACAGAGGATGATGAAGATGAAGAAGAGATTGTGCACATGGGCAATGCAATCATGTCATTTTATTCGGCTCTTATTGACCTGCTGGGCCGCTGTGCTCCTGAGATGCACGTAAGTGATGAGTTCCCAGAGAGCAGCTTTGAGGGACTTCAATCAGGAACATGGTAGATTTCTTGAAGGTCGTTTCTTCTTCTGTCCCTGGCATGTGTGAACGTACCTTTCTGTCTGTTCCTTCTAGCCAAAATCAAAAGTGGTTTCTGCCTCTGGTACCTGATTCTACAGCTTTCTAAGGAATGACTCCTGGGAAAATCTCTGTGTTGTGTGATTTCTCTGTGACCCTAGTAGGGCATATCTGCTACATATTCTTGTTTCAGAAGCCTCCAAAAATTACGTTTCCTTGCACCTCAGCCTGGTCACAATATGACCAACTTGATTTTGTGATTGTCTCTATCTGGACACTCCACATGGAAAATCTTTTCTTGATGACCGTGGTGTTAGGCATCAGGAAGGTAGTCATGATTCATGTTTGATTATTTCCCAGTGGTAAGCTTTGTAGACATACTGGAAAAGATGAGTCTATTTTTATGAGATGTCTTCTCAAACATTTAGTTTCAAACTGAATTGGTGTTTTCACCTTCCCTTTTTCATCTCTGCTGGGGATGAAGCTACATAGTGGCCTTATTTCTCATAAAGTCTCACATTATTAAGTGAGATAGGAAATACTTGCTTCTTATAGGAACATAGAAGACATAGCTTCTTATATTTTAAAAATACTTGGTAACTATTTAATAGAACTTTGTTCATTCAGGGCTCAGGTGCTCTCTCCACAGTGTCCACTGCATTTGGATTATGCCAATGTCTCCTAAAAGTATTTGCAATGCAGACTGGGGTGATATAAATAGTGTTTTCTGGTATTGATGAGGTTATATATTTGGTCACAGCCAAGATAACAGTGGGTATGTTGCATTTAATGCTAATGAAAAGATAGCATTGATTTAAGTAGTGGCTTTCAAATTTTTTTGACCAAAAAAATTATTTTGATCATAGTAAGAAATTTGGGTTTGGCTAACAAGATCATTTGGGTTTTTCTGTAACAAGTTTTTCCAAACAAACTTGTTGGGCAATTTAATATAATTTACATTGCAACCTAGTATACATATGTTCCAGAAACAAAACTTATCCTTGCTATGGCTAATGCACTCTAATATTTTCTATTCTATTCTAATATATTTCATGCTTTTTAATGCTGGTGACAATCCACTAACTGATTTTACAGCCCAGCAGTTGGTCAAGACTGCAGTTTGAAAGACACTGCATTAAAGCATTCACGCTTATCTTTCTTCCTGTATGTCATGGTATTATCTATGTAATCATGTAGCCTGTTTGGAAATCCATCTACAAGTGTTTAGGGGAACTATTCCAGTATGGAAGAATCTGGGGTAAAACTGTGTGCTTTTGTGACCCCATAAACTGTAGCCCACCAGGCTCCTCTGTCCATAAGATTTTCCAGGCAAAAATACTGGAGTGGGTTGCCATTTCCTTCTCCAAAAAAGTACTGTAGAGAAAAGAAAATCTAAATCTTCAAAGGGGGGGCTGATCAGAATTCTTAACTTGTAATAGTTTCTAGTTCCTACTGTGGAACTAGCACCTTACCCATCTTTCCATTTCTGTACTGTTAAACAAAGGAAAACGGAAGGGAGCTAAGGAAATTCTGAGATGTCCTGCTATCTTAGGGTGGGGGGTCAGTTTCCCTGATCACCTGTCATCTCTTCACAAAGCAGGTTGCACAGTTTGCCTAGTCTCAGGAAGACTGCCACATGGGATAGCTAAACCCTCAGAGCCCCACCTGGGGGAGAGCTTCTCCCTTGCTTACTGCCCCTCAGATTCAACCTCATAAACACATACACACACTTCTCCCATGGCCCTTCCTGTGTGAGTAAGGGGAAGGGGTGATGCAGGCTTCACTCACAGCTGCCCCTGTGCTCACCGCTAGGGTCACACATAGGTGTTCCCCTGCCTCTGATCCTGCAAGCATTGTGTCCCAGCATGTCAGCCAGCTACCTCCTGGGTAGGCTCAGTCCTGAGCTCATGACACTTACCTCGCCAGCTAAGAGCCTGTGCCCAGAAGCGTGCCTGCTGCCCCCACATCCAGGAGGATGTGGCTGTCTACATGCCCACCGTGGCTGTGAGAATCAGGTTATCCATCCCCAAACAACTCCCTTGAGATGCTGACGTTCTCTCTGACATCGTCTATACCCCTCTTGTTGCCCTATTCCCGGCATAAATCAAACTTTTTTGGGAAACCAAAAAAAACTAAGTCATGTCTACATTTAGCAGAATTCCAGGGTCTGGAATCACGGCCACATGGTCACCACTCTTGTCATGGCCGCCGAGAGCTGCCAGGACTGCAGTCACACTGAGACCCAACAACAGGCTGCCTTCACTGCTGAGACTACATGACTGTTGCTATCACAGCAAAGGAATCCACTGGCCCTCCTTGGCCAGTTATTCCCTCAGTAGCACCTCTTCTAGAAAATTAGGAGAAAGCGCTTCTTTTTTTTTTGTGGCCACCTATGTCTAGAACAATTAGGGAGGCATAAAAGTGTACCCATCCCATCCCCCCACAAGGAGAATCATTTTACTGCCCAAGGTTTGAAGGTGGGGTGGAGTGGGCATATGGGAACCTCATTTATCTTACTCTCTAACCCTACCTTGCAGCTTATCCAGACAGGGAAGGGAGAAGCCATCCGGATCAGGTCCATCCTGCGCTCCCTGGTTCCCACCGAGGACTTGGTTGGAATCATCAGCATCCCCTTGAAGCTGCCTTCCCTGAACAAAGGTAAGGGAATGGCTGAAGACAGTGTGCCAGCCTCCCCGGGGCCACCCGCTCGCAGCAGGATCCTGTGGGCAGTGCAGGAGTCCTCCCTGCCTCCTCCTGCAGGGCAGGCTTCACAGGGACAAGATCTTGCTCTTTTTCTGGCGGTGAAGAGTTCTCTCCTCCCAGCTCCAGCTGGCTGCTTGTCTCTGCTCTTTTGGGTTGAGACTTCCCTACTCCATGTCCCATAAATGCGGCTAGTCCAGACCTCATTGTCTTCTGAACTCCAGTCGTCTGGAGGGAGTCTGATGGACTGGGACCAACAGGAGCCCTCCCCAAACCTCGCATCTCCTTTGCCTCTGTGCCCCCAAACTGTGCAGCCAGCTGGGGCAATGGAAGGATAGGGCCTGACCCAGGCTCCCTTGGCCATAGTGCTATGCACCTCACGGCCATGGACCATAAAGGGTCTTCTCCCACAGTTTCTCATGACATGGGGCATCAGTCCGTGTTAACCTTACAAAACTTATGCTCTCCCAAAAACACAGAGGCTCTCCATGTCACTCCACCTGCTATCTAGTTAGTTTCCTCCTGGCTAATGGAAAAATTGAAAAGATAGCATGATTCTGCTGCAGTGTTTCCCAAACTGGTGTTCCGCGAGACATTTTGGTAAAGGATACTAATTGCTATACATGTTAACAAGGGGTTTGGAGTCAAATAAGTTTGGGAAATCTGGGAATATATCACATTTTCCTATCTTTATTGAGATATAACTGACATATAATGTTGTATAAGTTTAAGATGTACAGTGTGATGATTTGATATGTTTATCAAAATTAAGTAAATGCATGCATCACCTTGCATAGTTATTATTTGTTTTTGTTATGGTGAGAACATTTAAGTTCTACTCTCATAGTAACTCTCAAGTATACAGTACAGTGTTGTTAACTATGGTCACCATGCCGTACATTAGGTCCCCCAAACTTACTCATCTTGTAACTGAAAGTTTGTACTCTTTGGCCAACATCTTCCATTTCTCTCACTTCCCCCAACATGTAGTAACCATCAATCTACTCTCACTTTCTGTGAGTTCAATTATTTTAATATATAAGTGAGCTCCTACAATACTTGTCTTTCTCTAATTTATTTCGCTTAGCATTATATCCTCAAGATCCATCCATTTTGCTACACATGGGAGGATTTCCTCCTTTTATAGCTAAATAGTGTTACCCTCTGTGTGTCTGTGTGTGTCCATATATATGTATATACCACATTTTCTCTATCCATCTATCTGTGGACACTTAGACTATTTTTTCCTATGTGTTGGCTATTGTGAATAATATCGCAGTCAACATAAGGATGCAGATACCTCTTGAAGATACTGATTTTGTTTCCTTTGGCTATATATCCAGAAGTGGGATTGCTGGATCATTTGGTGGTTCTGTTTGTGATTTTGAGGAAACTCAACACTTTTTCCATAGTGGCTGCACAGTGTATATTCCCACCAACAAGGGTTCCCTTTTCTCCTTATCCTTGCCAACATTTTTTATCCCTTGTTTTTTTATTGAATAATCATTCTGATGAGTGTGAGGTGATATGTCCTTGTGGTTTTGATTTGCATTTCCTGATGGTGAGTGATGTTAAGCGTCTCTTCATGTATTTGTTGGCCATTTGTATGTCTTTGGAAAATATCTGTTTGGGTCCTTTGCCCATTTTAAATCAGATCATTTGTTTTAGTTGAGTTTTTGAGTTCCTTATATATTTTGGATATTAACTCCTTATTAGATATATGATTTGCAAATATTTTATTGCATTCTGTAAGTTGCCTTCTCATATTGTTGTTGTTTCTTTCACTATGCAAAAACTCATTAGCTTAATTTGTCCTGCTTATTGATTTTTACTTTTGGGATCATATATCCAGAAAAATAATTGCCAAGACCCTATCAAGGAGCTTACCCACTGTGTTTCCTTCTAGGAATTTTAGTTTCTATTCTTACATTTAAGTCTTTAATCTATTTCTAGTCAACTTCTTTGATAAACTTTTGTGTGAGATAGGAATCCAAATTCTTTTTGTCTCTGATTTTAGACAATTTTATTATAATGTGTCTTAGAGAAGATGGTTTGGGATTGAAATTTGAGGGTGACTTATTAGCTTTATAAACTTGGATTCCAAATATCTCCTCAGGTTTGGGAAATTCTCAGCCATTATGTCTTTAAAATAAGCTTTCTGCTTCTTTCTTCCTCTTTTCTCCTGGACTCCACTGATAGGTAAATTGTTGCTGTTAATGGTGTCCCTTAAACCCTGTAGACTTTCTTCATTCTTTTTTTCTGTTCGTTCTGCTTACTGGATAATTTCAAGTCATTTGTCTCTGGGTTCACTGATTCTTCTGCTTGGTCCCGAAGAAGCTCTCTATTGAATTTTTCCATTTAGTCATTATATTCTTCAGCCCTAATATTTCTTTTCTGTTATTTTTAATGCTTTATGTTTTGTTCATCACTTTGTTGAACTTATGTTTTTGTTCCTGTTTTCTTTATATCATTAAGTTGTTTATCTGGATTCTCTTGTAGCTCTCTAAGCATCTTTATAATAACTATTTAAACTTCTTTGTCAGGCCATTCATACATTGCTGTTTGTTTAGTTTCAGTTACTAGGCATTTGCTGTGTTCTTTTTGTGGAGCATGTTTCTCTTGTTCTTTATGAGCCCTGTAGCCTTGCATAGGAATTGTGCATTTGAGGAAGCAGTCACATCTTCCAGACTCTATGGACTGCCTTTGGTGAAGAAAGACCTTCACCTTCAGGTGGGGCTCCTCTGGTACCGGAATGTTAGGCAACTTCAGGTCCAGACAGTACATGATGTCTTGTTGACTCGGGCCCCTGGGGTCAACAGTATTGACGACTGCGTGGTTCTTGGCCAGAGCTGCCTGGGGTCCTCCGTGACTGAAAGGGCTGTCAGGGCCCTAAGCAGTGCTTCAGGCTTAGCATCTAGGGACCAGGGAAGGCAGTGGTGGTGGTGGCCAGAGCCAGTGGTACACACACTTGCAGGGACCAGCTGCAGACGCACATGTAGTGGCAAGGGCGGGGCCGGCAGCAAAGACCAGAGCCAGCTGTGGGTACATTGGCACGTGGGGAGACCCTGCTGGGTCTCACCTGGGTGCATGTACAGCAGTGAAGGCCCAGAATAGGAGCTGGGCTGGCAGCATGCAGGTGCACGGCTGGAGTGGCTAGCTCTGCAGCTGAAGGAGTCTAGATGGTGTCTCATACTTGGACAATCACAGAGGCTGGGGCTGGCTACTGGTGCAGACTTGGGGTTCTGGCTGTTGCTGGGGAGCAATGGGGGAGAGTCAGGTGACTGGGCATCTGTGAACACACAAACCCATGGGAAAGAATCCTGTGAAATCTGGATTTTGTGGTGGCTGTGCTGGCTTTTGGTTTCTTCAGTGGTGAAAGCTGCTGAGTCCTCAGCAAGCAGGTCACTGGGAAACAGGGGTTCTCCTACTGGGTGGCTGATACTGGTCACCCCTGCCCTTCTTTCCTGTTCCTAGGTATCTCTAGGCATCTCAGCTTTGCCAGTCTCTGGGTGGGGTGAAACCAAAGCTGGTCCTTCATGCAGTGCCCCAGAAGGCTCTGGAAACCAATCACACACCCTACTCTCACTAACTGGCAAAAGAAACTCTTTCTAGTTGAGTTTCCTTCTTGGCGCTGAGCAATGCCAACCTGAAGAATGCAGGCAACATGAAGCCACCCTTCCCTCCCTTTTTGTGCACTTACTCTCAGGTATTTTATTCCACTATATTCATTGGAAGGGCTGATGCTGAAGCTGAAACTCCAATACTTTGGCCACCTGATGCAAAGAGCCAGTTCACTGGAAAAGACCCTGATGACGTGAAAGATTGAGGGCAGGAGGAGAAGTGGGCAACAGAGGACAAGATGGTTGGATGGCATCACCAACTCAGTGGCATGAGTTTGAGTAAACTCCTGGGGATAGTGAAGGACAGGGAAGCCTGGTGCGCCTCAGTCCATGGAGTCACAAAGAGTTGGACACGAACAACAAATGTTGCCGCAGTTTACTGAGTGGAGCCCTCCCTAAGCCCTCCCGAAGCTGGTGTTGTTCATGGATAGCTGATCTTTGTGGGGAGATCAAGGTTGTGGTCTCCTACTCCCCCCATCTTGGTGACATCATTCTTGAATATATCACATTTTATAACTTCATGAAGCCTCTGAGAAATCATGTGGTGAAGAAGATGAACATTGAACTCAATGTTTCCCAAACTTTTTGAACACAGAACGCTCATTAGTTCAGTTCAGTCGCTCAGTCGTGTCTGACTCTTTGCGACCCTATGAATCGCAGCACACCAGGCTTCCCTGTCCATCACCAACTCCCGGAGTTTACTCAAACTCATGCCCATCGAGTCGGTGATGCCATCCAGCCATCTCATCCTCTGTCGTCCCCTTCTCCTCCTGCCCCCAATCCCTCCCAGCATCAGGGTCTTTTCCAATGAGTCA